TTTTCTAGTGTTGTTGCTCTTTATGTGTTAATAGAAAAATGCACATTTTTCAATTCAATTGCAATTTAAGGAAAGTATTATGTCAGTCTTGTGTATCCCTTTTTGGCATCATCTGCAGTTAAGCTGCGTCCAAACTGGAACTAGTGAGGTCTCTAGTATACTTGGCATGGACATCCCAATACAGAAATAGGAAAGTAATTTAGAAGGATTAGCATAGCTACTGTTCATATTATTTTAGACCAAGATGATCATGTGCACAGACATAACTGTAATACTTAGTACGGTTGTTTACTATTCTTAGCCAAAAGTATCCAATGAGCTCAAACAGCTGCTTTATTGATTTTAAAGTGCAGTTTAATTAATTTTCTAGTGTTGTTGCTCTTTATGTGTTAATAGAAAAATGCACATTTTTCAATTCAATTGCAATTTAAGGAAAGTATTATGTCAGTCTTGTGTATCCCTTTTTGGCATCATCTGCAGTTAAGCTGCGTCCAAACTGGAACTAGTGAGGTCTCTAGTATACTTGGCATGGACATCCCAATACAGAAATAGGAAAGTAATTTAGAAGGATTAACATAGCTACTGTTCATATTATTTTAGACCAAGATGATCATGTGCACAGACATAACTGTAATACTTGTTTATGAGTTTATGAGAGGCCCAAACATTTTCAGGAAGGCTTTCCCAGAGTTGTAGTATAGCATGCGTTCTGCTTTGACCTGAAATTAGTTGTTGGATATATATTTGCCCTAACTGGGCATTAAAGTATAGCAGGAAGAAAGTCTGTTTCTGCCAGACCACATCTTCCCTTAAGGGAAGTCACGTCAGAGGCAGGCAGACGTGTTAACTGTGGCCAAGGGCTAGTGTTGCCATGTGTTTAAAGATGGAAGTGTAACCTGTAGTGCAGCAAACAAGCCTCTTCCAGGCAAGCTGTTTATTGAATCAGTACAACAAGGCCTGGAACTATGATCACAGGAAGACATGCCCTTTCTTACACACATAAACATACTTTAATTTAAAAAAGAAAAACGGAATGCCAAAAAGAGCAGGAATGCCAGGAAGACTCTTACACTGTTTTTTCACTTTACAGTGATCACAGAGGCATTAATTTGGCTAAAAAATAGTACAGAAAATGATTCTTCCAGTTTTTAATCAACCTCACACCCTCAAAGCAAAAATGAAATAATTCACATTAATATAAAGAGGAAAAGCTCCAAATTTAAAAATTAGGTATTGAAGGATGTCAGTTTGAGACATTTAGTAGATGGTTTGTTCCTCTTTTCTACATATACTGCAGATGGCAAACAGCAACAGAAACACTTTATTCTGTAAAAAAAGATGCATACAGTAAAATATGTATGGGAATGTCATAATCACAGAAATGATATTGAATGATGGTACAGAAATGAAAGCAGCAGTATCCTATTATTGTTTTGCGAAACTCAGGAATGCCTATTACCCTTTTCCAGATGGATATTTGCTTAGGAAATTTACTTCGAGGCTGTCACAAGCAGTCTCAAAAATAACTGTTCAAACCTTTTCACAAGCTGCCACACACGAAAAGTAATGATTGAGGCTAAAACAGTATGCATGTAATAAGATTTATTTTGCTTTGATAGTGTGCTTATTTTCTTTAAAAAAGCATTGTGAGACAATTTTCATGAAGTCAGGAGACCAGTTAACTTCATCTTCCACAGGGCTGACTGGCGGATATGGAGAAAAGGGAGAGATGGGAAAAATAGGAAAGATGGGCCCTAGTGGAACGAGAGGTAAATAGACTCTAAGCAATGACTGAATGCTCTGTTTATTTATGCTGTTTACATATTCTGATAACTCAACACTACTATATCTGGGAATATTCTACAGAAAGCCACTTTCCTTTCCACTCAGTATTTTTACTGCACAGTAAACTCTATGCCATTTTTAGATTACCTATATCATTTTGTTTGGAAAAGTGTACTAGTTCAGGTTCAATAATTTCTTCCAGACAGGGACTAACACACTTAAATACTATACCGAATGTGGCTGTCAGGTTAGAACAAAAGCTAAAGACCAAAAATGTGTAAATGATAACTGCTTTTATGTCGTCATCATCATCATACTGACTGATAATGTGCTGAGCACTTGTTGCCCGAAGACTTGTTACAAAAACACACTGTCCATTGACCAAATTAGGTGATGTGGATATCTTAATGCAAATGTGGGAGGTGGGAGGTACAGAAATGGTGGTCTGTATAGCCTACATTAATATGAACAAAATCAGTAACTAGTAAAATTCCAGCAAATTTAGCACACCAGGGAAAGAAGCAAAATCTCAAATTATTTTCTACATTATCTGTAAAGTAATTGCATAATGCAAGAGAAGAGAAGAGAAGAGAAGATAAGAGAAGTTTCAAAAGGAAAATCACAGTTAGTTGGAGACTGAGTAATCTAGACTGAGATTGAGTAATCTGAGTAATTCTAAACAAACAATGAAGTATGTGCACTGCTGCCATCTACTGGTTATTCAATGTTATTACTGGATTCTATAAAATCATTGAGAGGTGCTTGTAATATTAATATGTGGCTAATGCTTAGTTAAATGACACTGTATGTTTTACACTATGTTGTTTATATTGTAAATGTTACTGTAAACAGGTGACAAGGGACAAGAAGGAATTAATGGTCTCCCGGGATTAAAAGGAAAACCTGGTAAATGTCAAAGCACATGAGTGTTTTCTGCTTTGTCAGAAAGCAGTAAGCATTAGATCTTCATGTTTATTATTATTGGTGATCTAACACAGCCTAAAGACTGCATAATATGTGTGACAGGTACTGCCTGTGACTGTGGGAGGTACAGAAAGGTTGTCGGACAGATGGACATCAATATAAGCAAACTGAAAAATGCTGTAAAGTTCCTTAAGAATGGTAAGACTTGCATTTTTAAATCATCAAATTTGCTTGTTTGACCCTGATATTGATTTAATGTTCTCCATTGTGACAAGCATGCCATTTCCATGATTTCATGATTATGCAGCAAATAATATAATTTTATAGTAAGATTGAAAGGTGTTATTGTTCTCATAACTCTTAAGAAGCATCTTTAACATATGTTTCTAGAACTTTTCCCTGAACTAACGTCACTTATTTTTACAATGACTTTTAATTAACTGGTCTCACTGCAAATTTTAGTGGTTGTATGAAGTCTTGAAATAAGTTTCATTCTTCTATCTTTACAATTAAAAATCCACTTGATTTGATAGTTTTTTTCATCTAGTGTAATGACTTTTATGCACTTTTAAGTGGGTTAGACATTCAAATAGTTTTGGGGCCACTGTATGATTACAGGGTGTGGTATCTTTGGCTCACATTCAAAATGAAAACTACAAAATCGATAATATTATATGAGCTGAGACAACAGCTCCATTCCAGATTGCATGTCACAATTATTACTATTGAAAACACAGACAAATGTTGACAAGACACAGACAAATGTTTACAAGACATTAACCAGTACTATGTTTTGTCAATTTTATTAAAGTGGTTCTAGGTATCAGGGAAACTGAGAACATGTTTTACCTGCTGGTGACAGAGGCACGGAGGTATCAAGAGTCACTTCTAAACTGCAAGTTGCGTGGGGGTTCTCTTGCTATGCCCAGAACCACAGAGACAAACACCTTGCTGGCCGACTATATCAGAGAAGCTGATCTTACTCATGTGTTCATAGGGCTACAGGTAGGGGTGACAGAGGTGGGGTACACGTATGTTGATGGTAACCTCTTCTTGAATACCACAGTCTGGTCTCTGCAGAGCCCACACAGTGGTAAAGGTGACTGTGTGCAGCTTGGTAGTACTGGAGCCTGGAGCCAGGTAGATTGTGGAGCCACACAGTACTACATATGCGAGTTTGTCAAAAACAAAAATACTTCAGCAACTTCAGTCTTGTAATGGTTTAATGGCCACAGAGAAAGAGTTTTTATTCTTAAAGAATTATTTTTAATAGGCTAAGCTGATGTATGAGAAAATGTAACTACTATATTTAGAATTTTTGTAAAGAAAAAGTTTTAAAAGTTTTTAATGTTTTTGATTTTATGATTTTTCCACCATTTTATGAATTATCCACCATTATTTTAAATCATTTAAAGTAAATAAAAGATAACAAGGGGTCTGTAAATGTTTATTCCACATGCTTTAAATTGCACTGTAATCCATCATTTTTAGATCTTTTTTCTAGCAACACTACTACCAGAAAAAAATATAATAATAATAATAATAAAAAAATGTATTTAAAAAATAGGATTACAATAAACTACTGCAACTGCTGAATAATTATTTTCTGATTGCAGTACATATCTGTATATGTATATATAAGACTTATGTTCCCATTAGATAATTTTTAGACTTGCTTTAAACTTTTAGCATACTTGTTTTCAGTTAATCATGGCTTTGTCACATGTGAAGCTAAAGCACTTTTTATAAGTAGTTCTGATAAATGGTAGAAAAAAATTTCTGTTCATATTAATGAATGGAATTAAGTTCAGTATATCCCTCAGCATTGTACAAGAATTCACTAAAGCAGTGGTCTTTTCCACAAAACTAGGTAATAATTAATGAAAAGGCCTGTGTACTTCCCATTTATAGATGGTAAATTTGTTTCATTATCAACAATCACCTTTTCAAAAAGCCTCTTACCCCTTTCAATATGCTTTTCCTTTGTGTGTTACATAGTACATTGATTTTATTCAGTACCTAGAATCAAATCAAATCAAACAAAATAGTTAATATCAATATTTAATATCAATTTGGGGTGTAAAATAAGGTTTACTTAGGTATGTTGAACCTATAAGCATGCATCACCAAAGTTGTGAAACTGTTTATTTTTGTGCATGACCAAACAGAAGAAAATTAAAATAAATTGTATTGTGAACAAAGGGAAACTAAAAACTAACTAAAACTAAAAACAAAGGCACACTTTAAATAATAAAGCTTGTAAAATTCACAGTAAATTCAACTGCATGCCCTCAGATACAGTAGATTGGATCAACCATGGGAGCGAAAAATTACCTAACAAGATGGGAGTGGCCACACACCTGTCAGACCTGTTCCTGATACATGACTCCAGCAGGATTCTCCTATGCGTTAGTCCTTTGTTCAACCTGTGTTTGTCAAGCTAAATGAGGATGGCAGAAACACCGAACCCGGCCACTACCTCCTTTCCAGCACCAACTATTTCTCTACCCCTTGGAATGGAAGTATTGAGGACATATTCAGGGGGCCTGATTTGTTTGGAAATTGTAAGTGCTGTTGTTTATAACTTTTTCAAGGCTTACTGGGTTAAACCTCTATAATTCACAAAGATGTATGCTTTCTTGGATTTTGGCAGTATACACCTTGATAACTTAAAAAAAAAAGAGATGGATGTAATGTGGAAGTCATAGTAATAGTAAGCATAAGGCCAAGTAACTAAACAATGACTTTATCCCCCTGATAATGCTGTATATATATATATATATATATATATATAAATTTTTTTTTTTCACTCGGGTGTTTGGGGGGTTGGGGTGGATATTAGAGG